CTTCTTGCTCCTAGTAGTAAGGCCAGGAGCCCCTAGTAGCTTCTTGTTCCTAGTAGCTCTCCTCGCCTGATGGCCTCTCTTTCCTTCTCCAACTCTTCTCTCTCCTGGCCCCGTAGAAGGAAGCGCGGCGAAGCGAGCGGCGAAGCGAGCCGCGAAGCGAGCTTCGCGGCGTAAACCGAACCCTTTGGCTTCCTGGGTGTTTGGGGGGTCTCGGCACCTGAATCGAATCAGAGGGGGTTGGAAGAAAATCTGCAACTGGAGAGTATCTATGTTTGGAACTTCAGGAGTAGACCAAGCTCCGGACCCCCAAGGACGCGACACGGCGATGACAACATGACAACGATGACATGAGATGACCCTCCAACTAGGTCACCTGAGCCGCGGCGTTCGAAACAAGACAACGAGGAGCGTAAGTCAGTTCACACGTGTTCACACCATTGCACCCCGGCGGATCGAAGTTCATCCGGCAAAACCGAAGAGTTCCGTGCCTTTGAGTACTTCCTCACGATGATTTGATCAAGATGGATGTGAAATAGAAGGGCGTCCACCACCGCCGTGCCGAAGAAAACTGACCTACTTCGAAAGAAAGCCTCTTCATGTCCTTCAGCCCTTAACCTGCCTTTTTGAGCTTCTCACTCTCAGCCGCCGGATCCACCGTAGCAGCTCCACCTCAGCCATTGGAGCTCTGGAGACAATTGCTTTCCTGTAGTGGTCATTAGAGTGTTCAGCCATGACTATCATTTTACTCAACGAGTAAGTGGGGTCCCAGCCTAGCCTTCCGCGAAAAAGAATAAGAGCTCAAGAATTAAGAACAGCACACATCATCAGGCACCTCCGTTGCGGCGGCGGCGATTGTGCTCGATCTGGTAGCCGCGGCCAAACCGAAAGCAGTACTCATTGAAGGAGATGGTACCTGCTTCAGCGGATGGTATCGATACAATGTATTCAACATGCCCCAAATGCCACACTCTGTTCCAACGCCTGTCCCCCCACACTCGTGCCGCTTCTCGCTGGAAACGTCGCCCTGGGCGGTGTCACCCACTCCGCCTGAGCGGTCGGTGTCCAGTTGATGTCGCAGGCGTTCAGCGGTCTTCTGCACCTCCTCTTCCTCGTGCCGTGCGGAGCAGCAACGCTTTGAATCCTTCACCCGGCCCCACACGCTTCTTTGGTGAAGACTGTCGATATGTGTCGATATGTATTTTGAAGGCTGTTCGACCTTTGGATGGACTCAAACTCACTCCATGTGAAGACCTCTTTAAAATCATCGAACAAACAACTAAGCCCCCTCCCACCTCGGAGATGCTCCTAGTGGTCCTAGCGCCATCAAGCCACTTGGTGAGAAAGAATATTGAGTGCTACAGGAAAAGATCAACTCTACGCGGGGTCAGGCATGGAAAGGCCGAAAGTTGACCCGCTTTCGATGGTCAAAAGTTTGCTTCGAACAACGGGGAGAGACATTGCAGCCAAGCCAAACCTCCCTCTCCTTCCGCATGGAGCGCTCTCAGACAGACGCCTCTCCGTCCTCTTTCAGCCCAGGTGCCGAAGCTCCATCTCCACAACTTCGGGCGAAAACAGCGCAGGCCTCGCCGATTTTGCTTGGGCACGGAGAGGCCTTGCCTCACCTCCCAGGGGCCACCAAATGGAGCAGGGATCGTTGGGCCACGTTCTGTTCGACCAATCCTGGCCCTTCGGGCTCGTCGGTTTTTGGTCTATTGATCAAGCGTATCCGGACAGTTAGAGGGGTAGAAACGAACAAAACCATCATGCCCAAGCTCCCAAAACCACCCCCAACATCATGCCCCACATCCAATCCATCCTCAGCCAATACCCGTACAGCATGTAAAATACGACCCTTGAAAACTGTCCGACCCTCCTACTAAACCCTAAACCCAACTATTGATATCACCTCCCACCTCCCACCCCCCCCGTTTTTTGCGGAGCATCGACACAAGGCCACCGGCTCTTGAGCACCGGTGGCCACGGGCGCCTCTTGTGCGTCGATCTCGCCAGAGTTGTCGGTGTCGGCCGCTTGGAACTGGCGCCGAAGCTCCTGGGTCGCTCCGCGCTCCGCGTCGCACGACGAGGAGCGACACGCGGTGCAGTCGTGACCGGGGTTTGCTTCGCTTAGCATGCAAAGAGTGTTACTTTCACTGGCACAAGCATTGCTTGGTGGAAGTTGCAGGTGAAGTTTCCTCAGAATCCGGTTTTCAACCCCAATCTGGCGATGTTCACTGAGTCTCGCATCAAAACCCCACTTCAATCTATTCTTCCATCCAGTGTCGATTCGCCGGGCGAGCTCGCCCAGCTTCGTCGCTTCGTCTCGAAGGGCCGAAGCGACATCCCCACACCCGCCACAAAGCATCGGCCAAGCCGCGACATCGCGTGGGACGAACTGTTCATTTCGTCCCCCAACCCGAGCAACCCGAGCAACCCGAGCAACCCAACCCAGCAGTCCAAGCATCCGCCACCACCTCTGGATCGTACATCGTCTCCGGTGCAGGGGCAGCCATGGCGGATCTGGATCCTGTTGTTCAAGTACTTACTGTGTTGCTGGTTTTTTGCGAAGTAGGGCGGCAAGGAGTGCGTAGGGCACGGAGCAAAGCCGCTTGCGCTGGTGTATAGGTGTATAACCCCTCCGTGATCGAGCGAAATGAGCTTTTCTTCGTGCTGAAAACACGGGAGGCACTTGCAAAGATCGACCAGGACTTTGGCCCGCCATTCCCTTGCGTGAGTTGTATACCATGAAGTAGAGCACCACAGCCACTCCGAACCTTTTTCTTGCGAAGGCTGACTCGTCGAAGGAGGGCTCCTGGTTACCCTGCATGCCTGAATTTGCCATCTGCAAATTGCGAGAAGATCTGAATTCCCTTTGGGAAGTTCTTCCACCTTCTTGTTCAAATTCGGAATCTCTAAATGAGACTCCACTGGCGCAAGCATCGTTCGACCTCTTCCAATGTCATGTGTTCCGTGGAGCTCTCCAGGCTTGACATGAAATCCCAAGTCCACTGCTTAGAAGCAGTGGACCGAGCATACTGTACAATGTACATCAGTGTACTAGATATCACAAGCCAGCTGACGCTGACGTTCCTCAGGCAGGTAGGCAGAGATCGGCATGGATTTTTCGGCATCTCTGGGATCCCGTTTCTTTGGAGCTTCGGTTTGGAGCTACGCTCGTTGGATGGTTTTTCACATCGGAATCATCGTGTTGAGTGGCTTCGGAATCATCGTGTTGAGTGGCTTCGACATCGCATTCTGGACTCGTGTCGAGAACCGAAGATGAATGGGTGTCCAGGACGCAGGATGACTTGTCCATCAATCAATGACGCCGTTTGCAGCACATGTCCTTTCCAAGAGGTGTTGCACCTGTCACCAAAAAGGCTTCAAGAAGTCGCTGCATCATGTTACATATTGATGACCACCCAAAACTCTTGAAACATTATATATAGAGAGAGATAGAGAGAGAGAGAGAGAGATAGATAGATAGATAGATAGATAGATAGATAGATAGATAGATAGATAGATAGA